GTATTTTGTAGGGGATTTAGACACCTAACCACCACACAGGACTGTGAGACAGACTCTTTTACCTTGCCAGGGCACCTGCGGATACATTGATTAACCTATCAGAACTTGCAACGTCCTTGACTTCATGCATGAGGTCATGGAGGATCTGAGAAGCCCATAGTAATTATTCAACACGAAACCCAACATAAACAATAGAGGCATCGGTTTCTGGTGTGGCTTTCAGCTTGGGGAAGATACACATCAATAATCATCTTCACCGGCTCCTGGTGACATTAGTGTGTATGTCACCAAGACCGTGCTACTTCTGGGTCATCAATATCCCAAGAAACCAAGGGGTTCCACAAAGGCCAAGTGTATCCCGCTGTAGATGATCTTGTCCTATATCAAATATGTTGACACGGTGTTAGTCAGTACAACAGGGCAGAGTCACAGAAAGGTTAAGGTGTTCATGGCAAAATCACACGTCCTTCTTTGTTTTTACACCCCTTCAATGCACTACAGTGATGGATTATACTTAATAAACATGGCTATCTGTCTGAATCTTGCATAACACAAATGTGTTACGCATTCTGTAGTTGTAGGAGTCACTTGACTGAACAATCAAAGGTGAAGGACAGGAAGTATTTCACCTTTACCCTGTCAGAGCTGCTTCTGATGGCCCACAGCCATTAGCTCTTCCTGCAATTGATCTGATCAATACGAAGACATGATTGACCCTAATCAGCTGTTAATGTTTGTGCAAGTCAAAGAAAACCACACCTCAAAATTTAAGGTGTCCTAGTACTACAGAACACAGTGAATTGAGAAATGTGGTTTTGAAAGCCAGGGTGGGAATGACAATGTGCTGCTGGACATTATACCACCGGGAACCAGGAGGCAGGTTAAATTCATTAGCAATTAGCAAAACAATAATCCATCCTAACAGAAGCTTTTAAAAACCTTCCAGAACCTTCCATCAGCAGCAGTCTTAACATAGATATATCATGAACTCAACATGATTTCCATTCCCCAAATCCAGATTTCTGTGAATTTAATTTTGGTTTTGGTTTGACTGTGATGGTCGCTGCCCCGAACTGGATTATTCCCTGCCCGTAGCTTCTGGGGTAGGCTGCTGACCCGTGACCCAGAAAAGACCAAACAGGTATAGAAATTGGATGGATGGATGGATGGACTGATAGTTTTCTTCTGATTTGTTAGCATTTCCCTCTAAACATTATAGGGAATAGGGTTCCACCTATTAGCTTAATTGAATTGCTTCTATCTAAATTGCTGTTTGGGGATATTTGGAACAGCTTTAGGATGGTACAGGTGCAAGGATTACCATTAAAGTAGGACTGTAGCTGTTCTGGATCTAGAGGAGCCAGAGATGGTTGGACTAGGCATCTTATAAAGATGGTCCCTTACCATGGCTTCCATGGTCGCTGTTCCTGGGACGTCCCATTAGCTGAGGACATGGCTATTTGAAGGCGTATGGGTAGACGGATAGACAAAAAAATTGCTTATAATTTATGAGGTCATAGTATATCCGGCGAAGGAACAGAAGCACAATTATGATCCGGCCCCTTTCTGCTTTCAAGAATTTTTAGCTGCCATTGTTCTTACTCACTGACTGTTACTGCTGGAAACCTTATCTGTCCCCATTGGTTTAAGCCAGTGATGTGATTGGCAGCTGATGCTAATCCCGCCCACATTGAACTGCAAAAGACCAAATAAGTGCCAAATAAGGCTGCCGTTACATACGTGTCTTGTAAATTGTCCTTTAAAGAAAACTGCCAATGTCCTCTACCGATGCTGGGTATGTCAAGGCACGTTTCTCCGTCTTCCAGCCATTTCTATGCAAAAAACGGGGCGAGATAAAGGAATACAGAGGCTGTCGAGGTGCCTGGTCACCTGGGAGACGTGATCAATATTAGGATGGATCCCGGAGGGGCTGCTATCCAGCCGCGCTGTCGATAAAAGCCCACAAAGCGGCGGAAACTTCACCTGCTGAATTTGTGCCTCCGAATGATCATCGACGCCTGACACAATACGGGCCTAGTGCAGCGCTGTTTGTGACATGAGTCTGAATACTGAATGTCAGTATTAATCTGCCATAAAGTCACAACCAATCCTTGCAGGAAAAGACTATGTAAAGTACAGCCCACCAGTGAGTATGAAATATTAATGCTCATTGAAGATGCACATAGTTTCATTATTATTATTATTATTATTATTATTATTATTATTATTATAATTAGTAGTAGTAGTAGTATTTGCATCCATCCATCCATCCATCAGCACTTATCCCGTACAGGATCATGGATGGTATTTATCTTATTTATGTGGATGTTACCAGGTTTAAATGAACTAATACTTTCCTGCTCACATATAATATGGAAGAATCCGGGCCGACATCAAACCCGCAGCCATCGTGAATCCTGTCCCTGCTCAGCCACCTTCCCGTCTTGCGTTTGTGAGGTATTTCTGGATTCCGGACTCCCCACATTCAGGAGAGTCCCTCATTCACCCCCCCCACTACCAGCAGGGTACAACCTGCACAGCAGACGTCAGCCTCTGAACACAAACAAAGCTCCGTTTAATCACCGGGGGAGTGTTACATGGCGCAAGTTTACTGGAGGGACATCGCAACTGCGCGGCTGGCTGAGCGGAGCGGCTGATGGGAACAGAAGGGCTCTCTCCCATAGAGGACGCTTCGGGGGGGGGGGGGTCTCCCGTGACTGAGCCGCGACGCCCCATCGGGCCTGTCTCAGCGTGCCCCACTGCGATGGTCTTCCCTGGTGAATGTCAGCAGAGACACACATGCCCCGCCCCCCAAGTCACGCGGTCGCCATGGGAGACACTGAGCTAAGGCAGCGGCTGGCTAGCGGTCACCATGGTGATGACGAAGAGGGTTCTGGGCACCTGGTGCCTGTACTTAGTCTGTGCACATCTATCAAGGCAAACACACACACACATGGACAATATCTATCACTATCACAGGCTATAAAACTGCATTAAAATGCTTTACACAGTACAAATGAACACAAGAAAATCTAACGTATTTCATTGGAGTATATCTCAGCTATCTTTTGAGCCTTCCATTGAATAAACCATCGAATCTAATTACATCAGATCCCGCTGGATCAACAGCAGAACATGCCGGAAACTACTTTGGGAAGGAGAAATCTGGACAGATAATCTCCCACTCCGCTATTTGTGTGTATGCACAGCCGTCGTCAATAAACAGCGTGACTTGGGAAGTCAAAAAACTATATTAATTGATATGTCATATTAAATTTCAGTGACCGTGAAATTTCTCTTTTAGGCATGAACACTAAATGCATGAGTTTATAAATAGCTAGATAAAAATGTTTGCTGAGGGAGCAAAGCCTTTGTTGTCTATATATTTATATATTTACATTTTATTTGGTAGATGTTTTTAGTCAAAACAGCAGACCATTGAGAAGACAGAGTCAGCCAGTCCCTGGGGTATTCAGGGGTTAGGGTCTCACTCAGGGGTCCAACAGTAACATCACTCTGCCAACTCTGGGATTTGAACCAGCGACCTTCTGATCACAGACATGAGTCCTAACCCACTGAGCCTCACACTGCCTTATGTGGTAAGCGACTGCCTGTAAAGGGTTTTTGAAAGACTTTAGCAGTCTGTGTGCCGCACTGTACAGCAGTTTGAAACATGGCGGATTGTTTGCTGCCAAAAGCTAAGAATCCTATTTCTGGAATATTCCGCGGAGGTGTCTCCCAGCTGCGTGGTGGGAGAGTGACACTTACCTGGGTTTGTGGGGCGTACGCTGGTTTCCCCCAGTTATCTCACCTCGACAGCTTTTTGGATATGACAGGAAATGCTTTAAGGAGACGTTTGGAGACAGAGAGGAAGAGATGGTCCTTGAACTCCATGGGCAGCACTTGTTTTTAATAAATACTTAGGGAATTTGAGCAATATTTGTAATTATGAGCCGATTGGTTTTTTTCCTGGAGTCATATGATTAGTGCAACTATGATGTCTTTCTACTTCAGAAGCATTATAAGTGGCTGGATCTATGTCTGATCAGATTTTGTGTTTATTAGGCATGTATAATTGTGCAGGAATCTCGCTGTGAAGCTCACACCCGACATCCTGGTGATTCTGCACGCCTTAGAGTTCGACATGTGAGACAGTCTTAGCGCATTATGTAACTTGAGCGGCAAGAGACCGACATCCGCTCTATTCTCTCAGTTACAGTACTCCACCACCAGAAAACAACTCCAACGCAGAGCGAGTGTGCCACTGCATCCGAGGCTCGTAGCCGCTTGCCTAGTTACCGTCGGTGATACGCAGGGGGGCTTTTTATGTCCACGGCCGCATCGAATGTACAGGTGATGGAGGGGCTCTGGGTCGTCGACGCTCGCCGCAATGAAAGTACACGACCTGCAGGCTTCAATATTCCTGCACACAAACGATGGACTAAATTCACCCAGAAAGACCTGATTTGGTGGGTCTGTTTTCTCGGGGTCAATCCTCCTCACCACCAGTGTGGAGCTGAGCAGCAAGGTCACGAGGATGGCAGCCAGATGGGGGGGGGGTGGAGTTTGGTCTCAGGGTTCAATTACTTCTGCCTGGAGAACTTTCCAGAACATCACTCAGAAATGCACACATTCACAAAAACCTGCCAGCCAGACAAACAGGAAAATAATTACGAGAAGAATTAAAAGCACCTTGATCAGACACACAGTAATAAAACCATACAAGGTTACATCTTAGTCTAACATGGAATTCAATAGAAAAACAGCTTTTGACGCTTTAGTCAGTTTATACAAATATTGCCACAATAAACAGGAACCATGTCACTGTTTAAACACTGTTGTGCTTTACTAATCTCTTTAATTTTCGAACCATATCATCACACTGGTAGATCTCAAGTGCCCAATTACAAAACCATCATTGAGTTATCTACATATGGCGCATGGGACTGGGTCAGCACAAAGGAGATTCTGTAAGAACATATGGAGAGAATGAGCTGGTATAAAGCGGAAAGGGGGTTTATTCAAAATTCAGACAGAATGTATTTGCTGATCACTCCTATTCTACGTGTATAACAATCACGCTCACTGCAGGGTGAATGCTGTGTGAAGTACAAACAGATATTCATATTTACACACTCAGAGCAAAAAATGAAAATCTTTAAATAACACAAAAGAAAGGCTAAATTATGAATACAGCAGTAGGCTTTCCAGTTTAACTTTTGAAAGCACATCTAATCTACCTCAGTTACATCATACATGTACAATACCGTAATAATTTAAAGAAACAAATAAAAAAAAAAAAATGTGCACAAAACATCATCTTGAACATGTACAACTGGCACTTTTTAAGTGCTGAGTCCGTGTTCACGTCCTGATCTGTCCCTCTGTCCGCTTCTTTTTAAGCGCTGTGCTGTTACTGGCAGGTTTATGCAACGTCGCCGCCCTTCAGGTGGCTGGAGCATGCCTGGGTGCGCGCTGGTGGTCCACGCGTGTCCTGCCTCGCCTCTCCTGTGCCTGAGACAGCTTCCACTTGGAGTTCAAGGACTTCAGCTTCTTGCGCCCCCTGTTGGAACACCACACCCTTTCGCAGTACTCCTCCACCTTGTGGACGTTGCTGTAGCCAATCAGCTGAAGGAACTCCTTATACCAAAGCCTAGGGGTGGAGCTATGGGGGGCCCCGGGGAGGGGGCAGGGTGCCCGGTGCTGGGCCTCTCCCTCCTGGTGGAGCAGCTCTTCGACACGCTCTTCCTCTAGTACCTCCAGGGAGATCCTGGCCACAGTGTGGATGAATCCTCGCTCCTCTGTTTGACACAGGTAGACCCCGGAGTCTGCCCGCCGCAGCCGGAGGAACAGAAGGCCGTGAGGGGTCTGTGCCACCCTGTCGTCAGCCTTCACCTGGGGACGCAGGGGCAACACCCAGCCGTTAATGCACCTCCCCCTCGGACAGGTACACACCCGACAAAGGTCTGGCTGCAGAACCCTGGGTGATCTCCACCATGGGACCAGAAATCACTTGATCTCCACACCTGGCCCAGACATGACATTACTGAAGAGAACTAAAACCGCTGTTCCTTTAAAATTATGAAGTTGAATATTTCTCATATCATCTCAAGCTACGTAAAGGTGAGAATTTCACACCAAAGTAGCAAATATAAAATAGACTACTAACGTCGGATCCCGTAGATTTACATGAGATTATTAACGTCAGTTGCCGATGTTGCATTAGTATCACTGAAAAAAGCAAATATATATTTTAAATGAGATGATTAAAGTCAGTTTCCGATGTTGCACTTAGGTCATATCCAGTGTTGGTGTGGAGGTTAAAAATATAAATATAAAGCTTCCTAGTGTGCAATTTAACGTGAAACTGATCGTCTAATGTGTGTGTTAACTTCAATAATGATTAATTGTTATATACCACAATGCAGTGCATTTTTCTCAAATACAAATAGTGGAAGTTGAATATTAGATCAGGAGTTTGGCAGGATTTTTAAGACTGACAAAGAGCAGAATCTCAAAATGAAATGGGACACACTTTCAACAACCATTGTACACACATGGGTACAAGTGTTTTGGGGGAGGGACATAAAAATGTACTTGTTTTTATTTAGGTGTATCATTAGAGTGCAGGCCACCCAGCAGGGGACCCTGGTCCATACGCCGCGTGCTCCGGAGCCTTACCTCATCCGCGTCCGGCCCCCTCTGGGCCAGCCACACCACGTTGGCCCGCAGCGATCGCGGGCTGCATTCCAGCAACGTGCCGTTCCCCTCCACGCCGTACACCAGCTTCTCCTCGGGCTTCTCTAGCTGCCCTCCTGTGGGAGCGAACAGCCTGAACCTCTCCGACAAGAGACAGGACCAGGGGCCACTCTAGGATTTTATAATGGCGGGGGGTACAATACATAAGGAAAATACTGGGTGATATAACTAGATTATTTCACTGGATGAAGGCAGGGTGCCGGCTTTTAGGTTAACACAGTAGCCAATCAGGACTGCGTGTTCGGTTCCCGCCCCTAGCTCGTTGCGAGGGATGTTTTCATGTTCTCCTCGTGATTGGGTGCGTTTCCTCCGGGCACTCCGGTTTGCTGCAGTCCTGAAACATGCACTTGCGTGACATGGTGTCCCCTGTCTCCGGCTCAGTGCCCTGCGCTTCACAGATTCATCTCCAGGCAAACTGCGGCCCCACATTCTATAAGCGAGCACGGAATTTGAACGGGTGGATGATCCGATGACATGAAGGATGGCCCACAGGACGACGATTCTGTACGAGAGCGTGCACGTCGATCCGGAGGACACGCAGGACCTGAGGTACGAAGGGCTGCGTGGAGGAAATAAGTTTCTACTAGCAGCTCCAAATGCTCCTGTAGGAAATCCACCCCACCAGCGGCCATTTTGTCTGCCCCGACTTAGGGTCTGTTAGACTTTGCGGAACGCTATTAAGAGCTGAGCCCCCTGAGTCTGCCAGGGTATCCATGCCCCTCCGACACTACAGTCTACCGATGATCTGTGTGTATGCACAGCCGAGCTTTCATTTTTGCTTTTTCCAAGATATGGATCATTATGGAGTCCTCTAGTGATGACATACGGCCCGCAGGGGCTGTATGATGGTGGGCTCGAGCCTTTACCCTCAGCTGTGTCGAATTATACAGCCTAAACGTGCCTTTGGGAACATTGAAACCAAGATCACCACCCCTGGGGTCCCCAGCTCGTTTTCCCATCACGTCTTAACATTTCATTCCACTTAACCGAGTCGCAGAAGGGTTGACCTAGCAAGAAGAAAAACAGGCATATTCCAAATGCGATTATGGCGTCTGACATTTAAAGGCACGCTGGCTGTTTCTCGAGGAACATCAGCTCTCGACCTCCCTAACCTGCCAGCCTTGCCCTTATTTCACGTCATGCCTCCCACATGCCTTTTAACGTATTTTTCCACTTTCTCCAGCAAATCGCCACCGTGACTCACGATGCTGTATCGCCATCAGTAATGACCACATGTCCGGTTTATTCCGGTGAAGGAACAGAGGTGGAAAATAAAGACCAAGAGCCAAACTGTGACAGGCAGTTACACAAACCCAATTCTTTTGGACTAGATTGCAGTAGACAAAGCATATATTCGATGCACATTTCTGCAGGAATAATCTAGGCTGATGTTTAATTTTGAAGTAACTGAATGACATGTGTAAACCCACATCCCAAAATCTTCAGCAGGCTTTCCAGAAGCTACCAGTTCTCCTCTGTTTACTCCAATTCTGTTAAAAACAGTGAAGAGTATGTTTGACGCCCCTGTATCTCACAGTGTCAGGATGGTAACTTTGACTGGTGTTATTCTCTGCTTGGTTAAATGCTTTTAAAGCAGGCTGTCTTTACTCTCACTCCCTCACTCAGTCAGATTCAGATGCTCTAAAACACAACATAAATGTCGCTCTTTTCATTTTAGACACGTACCATTTATCTGCATCCCGTTGCACTGCTGAATGGCGTTTCCATGGCGAACGTCTTGCCGCCTGACGCGCCTGAAAAACACAGAGGAAGAACTGAGAAAAACTGAAGTACACAAGCTGTGACTGGATCTAAGAAACTTCTGAGGTGAAGAGTGAAGACTGGAGGTAACTAGGCCCTGAGAAACAGCCTGGAGCTCTGTAACCCTGAGTTGAAGAATGGAGCTAAACAGAGATGAAGACTAGACCTAAATGAGTTCCGAGCTGAAGACTACAATTAAATAAGGCCTGAGCAGAAGACTAGAATTAAATAAGTTCTGAGCTGAAGACCAGAACCATGAAAGTCCTGAGTTGAAGCCTATAATTAAATAAGGCCTGGGCTGAAGACTATAATTAAATAAGTCCTGAGGTGAAGACTAGAGCTAAGTAGGTCCTGAACTGAAGACTAGAACTAAATAAGTCCCAAAATAAAGAGTGGGTAGGCTCTGGACCCCCCGTGACCCTGGATAAGACAAGTGGCTTCAGAAAATAGATGGATGGATGGATGGATAAAGACTAGGACTATATAAGTCCTGAGCTAAAGACTAGGTCTAAATAAGTTCTCAGACCAGACTTAGACTGAAAGTAAATAAGCACAGAACCGAAGATAAGAGGTAAACAACATGGATCAGAAGGCAAGAGTCAAATAAGCTGGCGCTTCATGTGCTCCCATTCTGAAGCGCTCTTCAGGCCCCAAAGTGCACAGCACAATCGACACAAAGGTGGCTGGGCACCTTGCCATCCCCCAGGCTGTTCAGGTGCTGCGTGCTTAATAACCCTGGCCACGATCGAGCAACTTCCTGCTCTACCTCTTTAGCGATAGAGAGGCTGCGAGGGTCGGGAAGATATGCAGCATGACGGCTGTCTGTCAGGAGACAGGCCCAGAATAAATTCTGGGGGGCAGAAGCTTCTGGAACCTGCCATATATATAAATCATTAACCACGAGAGTGTCACGGAAGTGCAGATGGACGTTGATGGACGACAAGGGGCACTTTTAGCAGTATGATGGGAGGGTGGTGGTGACGCTTTACACACTGCAGTCGTCTGAATGCTCTCGCTCTTCACATGTTTGTCCCCAGTCTTCCCTTTTGTTTATTTAGCTGCCTAAACAAAACCGCACTTAGCTGCTGAAAAATGCATCCTAAGCGTCTTGGTAATTAGTGCTTGTGTGCAGTTTCGGCAGAGTGGCAGCTGAATGGGTAACTATGCAGCGCTAGGGTGGACCCCAGATTTTCATTTGGAAGCAAATCACTGCCAGTTCCAGCCTAGTCTGCCACACAGCCTTCTGGGAAGTGCAGCCGGCTGGGGGAGGGGCGTCCCTTAATGCCTGCCTGCACTCGCCCCTTTTACGGCACCCCGTGTCAGTCATCCGGAATGGTCTGACGGCCTGGGGCAGGGTCACCTGGCCCTCCATTACAGAATTAAGCGGATTAATCAGGAAAAACTAATTAGCCTCACATTAAACTCCATTCTCTTCTGCATCCTCTGGTGGGGCTTTGGTCACCATTACTGTGAAAACACACAAGAAAAACGGGGTCCCGCAGGGAAGAACAGGCAGCCTGCCCCCCCCCCCCGGATGAATCACCAAAGCCCTTTTTTATTCAGCATGCCCCCCTCACCCCCGCACACATAGCCAACGAAGGTATGAGTAAGAGCCTCCCCTATGGATCTACGATGACGGAGTAAGGGAGCGTCACACAATTCCGGCACTGAGAGGTGAGGGGCAAAGCCACAATCAGAGGATCCGAACTGCCAGAGATGTGTGGGGGGGGGGGGAGTGGCTTGCATCACCAGGCTGCCTTCACTGCGGCAGGAACGTGCAGGGAAGAAATGCGTCAGATGAAAAGGCAGCGGTCGACTTACCGCTTCATGGAGATTCCGGCGGGAAGGTAACGGGAGCAGGTGACGCCGTCCCAGGCACAGTAAGGGTCTCGAGCCAAACAGCAGTCGGCGCAGGCCGCACCGTACAGGCGACACTGATGGACCCGCACCTGGGCCACACCCAGCTCCGAGCTGACGAACAGCCGCTGCTGTGGGTCATTAACGCAGGAACGATGAGCACGACGACATGCAATGGGGGGGTCTCCAAATATATTTCCCTGGGGGCCATATTCTATCAGCAAAACAAAGCCAAGGGCCACTGGCCCTGTTATTGATCCATTACGCCCATGAGGGGGGTCGGGTTGGGCGCTGATAATAAAATTTGAGGAGTCGGGTGGGGGAGGGGTGGGCGGATGGCAACGCTAGCCCAGCTAAACCTCAGTGACGCATGTGGCAGGTTCTGGTGAGGCCCGCCCCCTGCAGAACCCTGAGACACGTCTGAAAGATTCTGATCAATGAGGACGTTGTTATGCGAGTTCCGGGTTTAACAAGAAGTGGGCAGGAAGGAAAACGAGACAACAAGGAATGAAACGGTCTACGAGGGGCCCGTTTAGGTCCGCAGACGGGTGCGGAACCATGTTTTATAGCAGCGATTAACTACAGGTTGCCTATATTGGGAACACTTGCCTTCCACCATGCAAGTTTATATTCAACTAAAGCTAAATCCAGAACATGAAGCTGTTTCCTGTGCTGTGTTCTGCATCCATCTCTTTGCTGACAGTGGAGGACATCAAAATCTCATGGGTTGTATCATGGTCCCACTGGAAACTGGGAGGGGTGTGAGGCAGACTGAATTTACCCGGGGGTTTGTAAGAGGGAGCCCCCGTGGCCCCAATCACAGACGGCCTACGGCACATGCGAATAACCGCACTTTTATCCGTTCACAGCGCGCTGGTGACTGATCGCAAAGGAAAATCACATCACAGCGGGGAAGCAGGAAAATTTCAAAATCTGTGTCTGATTGTTCAATCAAGTGAAAGGACATACACCGTTCTGGGGGTCGAACATTTTAAAGCAAAATAAAGGAGGAACTTAAAGTGTGTTTTGTTTTTCAGAATTCTTGCTCGATGCAACCATCTAGTGGTCAAGGGTGTGTACTGCAGTTTGAGAGACCAGTTCACCGAGTCGAAATGCATGGAAAAGAAACTTACCCTCTTCGAAGAAATCAGGATTTCGGTGATTGGCACAGGAACCTGCAAATATATGAGAAAAAGAGAGAGAAAAAGGCATTAAGACAACATCATCTTCATCATCATGAACATGAGATTAAAGAAATGATAAAAGTGCATTTAAAAATCCTGGGAATGCTGCTGCTTCTCAGTACGAGAAAACACTTTGGTATGTATAATTAACCACTAATCCCAGTAATTAACCCTGGGTAAATGGCGAGGATGAGCACACAGCCTGGAAAGTGAAATCCCATCACTGACAGATACCTTGAAAACATGGAGTTCTTCCAGAACAACTTCCTCGATGGTGTTGGTCTCTTTATTGTGGATGGTAATCACCTTCAACACCACGGAGTTGTCTGAAGGGAAAAACTCCAGTCACAAATCATGGGTACGTAACAGTCAAATGCACTTTTTAATTATAAACATTTAGATCAACGTCAAATCGAGCTCTTGAGATTTGGTCCCATATCACATTTTCTGAGAAAATTTGACAGCCTTGCAGGAATAAATGGATTTTACTGGGGCTACAGAGATCACATGTTTATTTACATTTGACACGGTAACCATGGTTACGGCACCAGTATAATCCTGCGAATGGACCTACTCAGTCTGATCAGCTCGGTCTGTGTGCGTTTTCCTACACAGATTAAAATACCCGGGAGGATCTGGAAAGCAGAATCTGAGCAGGTGCGCATAGCAGGTGAGGTGCCAAATATTTAGCCTTGGCTTAAAAACACAATATCACAACTTAATTTATCACAGACAGATATGATCGAAAGCACCCGACACCTGTACAAAAAGAACGGATGATCTTATTTATAACATTTGGGAAAAGTCAGCCACCCAGGCCAATCAGTGCATATCCACAGAGGGAGGGCTTACAGAAACCACAGGGGCTGGAGTGTAGCCTCGCACCCGCAAGGCTGTGGGTTTGAATCCCACCCCCAGGTCTTAGTGTCTGTGGCCTCCCTCTGCCTGGGATGGGCTTCCCTCTGGCTATTCCAGTATTCCACATTCCTAAAACGTGCAGCGACAGGAATCGCCCATAATTGCCCATGGCGTGTGTGTGCCCTGTGATGGACTGGCATCCCATCCAGAATGTTATTTTAAGCTCTCTGGGATGTGATCCAGAGTCAGCACAACCTGATTAGTGGTCAGGATTGGCAGATGGATAGTCATGCACAAATATCCATCCATCCATCCATGCATTCAATCGCTTATCTGGCAAAGGTTGATGGGAACCCTCAAGCCAATCCCTGCAAACACAAAATGGGGGGACACCCTGAACAGGACGCCAGTGTATTTAGGTAGACATATTAAGCTAATGAGTGTTGTGGTTGATGTGTAGGGGTTAGTCTCCCGAAGGCCCTTTCAGGCAACTAGCAGACCCCTCATGACCCATCACCTGTGCCGATGAAGAGCACATCGTAATGTCCATCCTCAGCCTCCACCCGGTCAACCGCAATTTGCGTGAACCTTTGCTCGGCGTCGGTTCTTATCAGGATGGGCCGGTGATGGACAGGCTGGACGGGCTGGAACATGACTGGGTGGGTCCGGATGAAACGCAGCACCTCATCCGGGTACTCCCTGGAGCTGGAAAACTGCCCTCCGTTCATCTGACTGGCACACTGGGAGGGAGAGCATTAGCACTGGTTAGCATGGGCTAATGATGGTTAGCACAGGCTAGCACTGGTTAGCGCTGAGAAGAAAGTTATGAGCACAACCATTAGCCAGCAGGATCAGTCCTTGACTAAGGCCTGCCTAGTCCTTAACCAGCAGGGAGAGTCCTTAACTAAGGCCTGTTTGGTCCTTAATGAGCAGGAAGAGTCCTTAACTAAGGTCTGCCTAGTCCTTAACCAGCAAGGAGAGTCCTTAAATAAGGCCTGCCTAGTCCTCAGCAGGGAGAGTTTTTAACTAAGGTCTGTTTGGTCCTTAATGAGCAGGAAGAGTCCTTAACTAAACAAGACTTGTGTGGTCCTGATCAGCACCAGCTTCTAGCCAAAGGAATGTAATCAGTGTTTACCACTAATTAATCTGTGCACATGTGAGTTAATTTAAAGAAAACCCCCTAGAGGCTGTGTTCTGTAAAACAGCATTTTTCCGAACACCTGTTCCACCACTGCTTATTGTATTCAAACACACGCCACTTTTACTCTGCACAACATATATGCACATCAAACCAGGGCCTGGAATGATGTTATGCTGTTCAGCTGTGCTCCTTAAAATGAAAAATGGGCTTTACTGTTTACGCAGAGATGAATATATTTGTTCAGAATTTCAGTAAAGCATTTCTTGATCTTTCCTGACATTTGTTGGAGAATATTTGCACATGCTGGAGATCTGTATAGCACAGTAAACAAATCAATGTGCTACTAAGGCAGCTGACATACCGATCCGGGTCTTGGGAATGGGACCCTCCCCTGAAAGGCGGCCCAGTGGTGGTCAGGGCGCTCCTTGTGTGCATACGGCCCATTGAAGGCGGCGCGGACCTCATCCATGCTGTAGACACACACGGCGTAGCCTTTGAAAATGTTGCTGTCCAGGGAGGAGAGACAGAAGAGCGTCAGAGAAACAGAGTGTGGACAGCATGATATCCGCCACTCGGCGAGAGCCAATTTCTGTAACTAACCTTGTATTTATGACAACCAGGTGGAAAGTTGAGGTTCAGAAAGTACAAATCCAGACCAAGAGTCACAGACACAGAGGACTGAACTGGTTGGTTGAAACAAAATCTTGGTCTGGATTTGTACTTTCTGAACCTGGACTTTCCATCTCTGCAGCCAGGGGTGTAGGAACCAGGAGAACAGAGGGGACATGTACTCCCCCAATATTTAATTTGGCTTCACCCCCACCCCCCGAAAAAACACATTTGCATTTAAATTATTAAGTTGTGACCCCCACACTCCTATGGCCTTGATAACAACCTAAAAGAAATTTTAAATTTACATCTACAGCATCCAGATGGACAGAAATGGTTTTGTTGACTTGGTCTGATGAGCATTCTAGTATCTACCCAACATAGCATTAGAAATTCCCTGGTCTTAACACCGCCTGTTTGGTCCAGGGGTTCCAGATCATGGGACATCAACAGATCATCGGTGGCAGTTAAACCCGAAGCAAGCCGGTTTATCAGAAGGAACCTGAAGGTCTGTTAAAATGAAGAATGTGCTAATTTCAGCTGCTGGTGACATCAGACCCTCAGTGCCGAGCAGCTGATGCACTGCACCATCATGTTAGCACCCCCCGCAGGCCTCCTGTGAGACTGACCTGGTTGTGCTGAACAGGCCAAAAATCTCTGGCTTCTTCTCATCCTTCCTCTTCAGCACAAACACGTCCACTGAAAGGTAAAGAGGTGGGATCAGCAGTTAGCTCATAGGAGGGGAGGATCCCAGCCCCCCGCCACCAGGGTGGGATCAGCGGTTAGCTCACAGGAGGGGAGTATCCCAGAGCCCACCCAATGATGCTCTCAGAGCCCGCAGTGGGTCTCCACATTTCTAGTGTTTCTCACGCCCCAACAACCAGTTCTCCCCCCAGTCTGAGACTTAGATGCGGTGGGAAATTCACCACAGAGCACAAAAACATATTCTGCAGAGGCAACGGCCGGAATTTTCCGGCACTTCATCATGAGATTTGACTGTTTATCTGTGTCATTTAACACCCATTTGCCAAGGAGAAATAAATATATAGAAATATCACTTTGCGTGCGGTGCGAGACAGTGATGGGTGGCTGGGGTGTGTATGAAGCAGTGGGTGGGGGCCAGGACACTGGCGGTTGGGTGGTAGTTGGAGAGGGGTCCCCACACTAACCCCTCTCATCTAGGCTCCTTACCCAGCTCGTCAAAATGTGTGCTCATCCCGTCAGATCCGGGCACGGAACAGACCAAGCGAGTCTTGGTGAATGAGGTCCACTTGTTCACCAGCATCCTCTGTCCTCCCACATCATTCTGTTGGGGTAAAATGGTGGGGGGTGGAATTAAAGTTGGGGGGGGGTAATTTTGTGTGCTGCAAGACAAAGGCCAGTGCGTTTTCCTTTTTAAAAGTCAGAAGAAACACACTGGAACTGCACTGGAAACATTTTCCTACAAGTGCTAAATGTGAAGCAGCAACATGTCAAAGTAGCAATTAAGGCTCCTCGTTCAGCAGCTATCGCCCTGTGTATTTACGCGACCTTACCGCGCAGACCCTGCCGATTCTGCTGTAAACCGCGCTGTTACCATCTTCGGTGTCTGCGGCCTTTTCCGTGAAGAAGAAATACACCTTGTCATCGTCTGGGTCGTCGTTGTCGGGGATGATGACAGATCCTACAAACTTTGGCTCTGGAAGGTGAAGGTAAACATAAACACAGCGGGCTGATGTAATTTCACCGTCACATTTGGACAACAAAAAAACGCCCAGAGTTTATATCTAATAATCCTGGAAGAGTCATGTCCCCATCCCATCTATTAATCATTAATCACTTCAGACCTCACAGAGCAGCTCAGGTTCAGCTCCTGATGAATTGATTCTGTGACTCTGCAAGAGGACCCTCCCATCTTGATGATCTGCCTTTCATAATATTTACATCCTGTGCACCAGCTGGCCTTGGGAGCCTTGTAGCTAAAAGCGGACCACCGGTACTTTGTTTCTGCTCAGGGGTGCTGTCGCCCTCTGTCAATCTCCCATAATGCCCTGAGGTCCTGCTTCGGTATATATTTGCAAAAGATCTGGTGGCCCATTTGTTGGTCAAGGGTGGTCTGAATGAACTACCCAGCAGATCTGGTGATTTATGCGACCAGTAGGTGTTCTGTCTAAAAAACCACACCTGCTGACAGCATGATCCGCTCTCCCACAGCTCTGAAAGCGCACACACGTCGGCTAACCAGAGGGGGGCGACGGAGATCTCGGATAGTATCATCACTCCGGCATACCACAGCGCATTGCCATACATACTGGGAAAAGCCATTTTAAAAACTCAGTAACCCAGTAATGTTCACTTGAGCTGCCAGAAAGCCAGCACTTAGCAGGTGGTGAAACGCCAGCAGGTGGCGTAGCCACTAAAAGCTCCTTCGAACAGCAGGATGGTATTTCGCTAAAGCTAAGTGGACAGCAGTCGCACCCAGCCGACTTGCAACCTCGGCCTCTTATCCTCTTGGCGGCCTACCGTTCAGCTGCTGCCTGTGGTTCTGCTCGGTCCGGGTGAAGCTGGCGTCACCGTAGCGACAGAGTGCCGCGTCATTCTCCCAGTAGTCTGTGTAGAGGCCCACATACAGTTGTCCTTCTGATAAAGGGGAATATGGAGGAAGAACAGTCATCAGAATCACCGCCGTTCCGCGCAGAAGAACAGCGACCAGCAGCAGTAATGCACACAAACCCCCACAGCAAGTGGCCTAAGAGGGAGGTGTGCGGCTCCGTGTGTGAGGACACTGTGCCTCTGACCGTAAGGTCACTGCTCCAAATGTCAGACTAAGAGTTACTCCATCATCGGGTTCCTGAGCAAGGCCATTAATGGCTCCAGGAATCGTCAGACCCTGCTTTGTTCTCAAAAATGTGCATTGCTTTGGACAAAAGTTTCTGCTAAAAAAATAACATCTAAGGCACCTTTTACGCCAACTTAACACAAACATGTAACCGATGCCTCCACAAGGGGGCAGCCTTGTACCCAAAACTCATTTCAAAATCCATTGATTTCTCTTTAACATTTTGCTTATCCAGTATAGGGTTCCTATAATCAAATCAAAAGCCCTTTAAGCTTATATCATTGGGCAGCCTCTTTCCATGCCTTCGCATCTCAGCAGCCATTAACACAACAACATTCGTGAAAAGCATTCAGGGCCCTTGGGAGTAAACGCCATGCCTGAGAGATGATAAGTGATTGTCAGATACGGCAGGAACGGTCGATTCGCTGCTCTCTTTATTTTCGCTTATATGTAAACAGGCTCTATCCGCCTTGCGTCTGACAGCTCGGAGTCTGTACCCATTCCTGTAGGAGGTGACGCCCCCTGAGACCTTGGCTGACGGCCCCTCGGACGACTAAATTAACAGGCGTTCGCTACCAGAAAGTCAAAATACAAACCAGGTCAATCACTTAAGGTACGAGTGTGAAACGGTCGTGGTCGGGGCACACATGACACAACCACCGATGCAAAAAATATATCTCATAAACACCCCCAACCTTGAAGATGGGACTCAGATTAGTTTCACATGAAGCATTAAATGACTGTGCTATAAATAGACACGCTCGAGTCTGTCTCCTAGAAAGACATTTAATGAACTGCCCTCACCCTGCATCACGTGATATGATTAATATTACTCCCGTTTCAGGTTATGAGAGATACTCATTACCTCATCACCCTCCCCGCCCCCCCCAGATCTGTAGGAGGGGGTATTTTTTTCAATAATGGTTTATTAATGAAGCCCGCGCCTCGTAGTATGGAGAGAGTGGCTGGTATGAAGGAATGACGAGAGAAATTAAGGAAGGCCACACTTTGGACTGAATACGGCACCAGCTATGAGTCGAGGTGTCGGACGTACATAGAGGAGGCGCAGGTGAGCTGGACAGTGTTTGTGTTCCTCTGTGGTGGCTTGTGGGGGGCAGGGGGGGGGGGGGGGGTGGTTCACATAAAGGACGGAGAGACTTACTGGAGAAGACAGAGGTACATGAGCTGTTGGGGTCAAACGGGCATCTTCCTCTGCTGCCCTTGATGTGACTGGTCTCCAGTTGAAACAGACCATCCTGCAAGAGAAGGAGGAACATCTCTTTTGTAACTCATCGTAACCCCCCCCCCCCCCCCGGAAAGGGGTCATCCAGCTAACAGGCCTCCCGATAAATCAGGAAGAAGGCAGAGACCGTTAACCAAAAACACCTTACGGATCTAAAATTAAAAGTCTTTCTCGGCAGCACAGTCAGCTTATTAGGCCATGCAGACAGGACGTTCCCGCACCTGGGACCGCCGGAAAGGTATAAATATTCCAGGGAAAATGGCAGGTAGGTCTGGCTAACCTCAAATGTAAATACAGGGGATGCTATTACACAGGGACTCGCGGGAGTGGAGGGGAGGGGGGCACTGACTGAAAACCACAGGAGTGACCAGCCCATCGTCTCCTGAGGCACTGAAATCACACAGCATGTTGATTGGGCCCCCCACTCCCTCCCACCCCCCACAGCCTCCTCTCTAACTTTCCGAGACATCAATTATCTCACGAGGCAGAGCGCCAGGGACCCTGAAGTCACCTTGCAGCCCACATGTGTCTTGGTAAGTAATTAGCCAAGTGGCTGGCTGCTACTTCCCATGTGATCCGAGACCCGAAGTATGACGGCTGGCCATGTGACCTCTGCGGAATCACATTCGATACGTTCGAAGATCTGAACGCACAACAAAGCAAAACAGCTCTATTCCGTGCAGCTTGTGATCTCATTTTAAACACAGTTACAAAAAATCCCTCTGCATACTGTTACATCTCTGACTGGTATCTGACTTAAAATCACAGCATGGCTTCAACTCTGACACAGGAAGGTCACAAGGAGATTGAACACAAGGGGGATCACAACAAATGAACGTTCGTTGAGATGTCAGGATGGCTACAGGAAGGCACTGGGCCATCGCCCGCCATAAACAAACAGTCTTCATTAGCTGTGATCTGTGTCTGATCTACTCTCACTGCAGTTTGTCATTCAGAGTCCAGATAGGCTGATTTTTAATTTTCTTTACTGCGGTTAGGAATGCTCTGCATGTATCTGTTTAAGCTCTCTCAGTGACACAGAGCAAACGCTACCGCACGTGATATATTAGAGGCAGAAAATGTATGTCAAGTAATCATGATCTTAAAGGTCTGAGGACCAGAAGACGACAGACATAAGGGAAACATGATGGATTTTAATTAAGCATGTTACATGTTACATTGTCATATGAAAACCAGGCTTTCCCTCTGCTCTTTAATTCTGGAGGTTTGAGGCGAGAACTCGGTTCCAATTCCCTCGATTCCCCCCAAAACCCCTTCAACCCAATGTGGTTCTGATGAGCCAGCCGTCCCAAAACGAAGGCAGGGCTGGGAATTCGGCGAGGGATGTGACTGAGAGGAACACTTGAGTCCCCAGCCAGGAGGCTTGGCTTCTGCTTCATGTTAAGCTGTCTGAAGCTGACTTTCTGATCCCTGCTGGCACTTGCCCCTCACTCCCGTGGCTGACCGGTGCAGTAGAGGGCAGTTTGGGCTCACCCCTCAGTGGACGGAGAGGGGTACTGCGCCGGAACATGGGTCTGGCACCATACCGCGCGGCTTTGCCCAGAAACGGCTTGGCTGCCATTTACACTCAGTCTCACAGAAAGTAAATAACAGGAAAGGAGCCCACGCTCTTTGTCTGGCTCTGTCGCCGCGGCAGCACCCATCGCCCCAAAACAATGCTACTCTGCATATAAAATGATGCACGCGGACAGTCTTGGCCGCCTGTGGCGTCCCAGAAATGATCGAGCAGCGAGGCTTCGCCAAAATGTGACGGAGGTGAGCTTATTAGCTGCTCGTTCCCGTCTGCGACCTCTTTGACAGTCTCCAGGGGTCAAAGAATGCATGTTTTTGTTGTTGATGCATATCCTCACCCTTAAATGATGAGATGTGAAGGCCCACAGAATTGATTCCCGCCCCCATCAAAAACAGAGACAATCACGCTGAAGATAAAAAATCACCAGGACGAGCTATCCTGGTGCTTTAGACCAGAAAGGATTTTAAAAATTTATTTTCTAAGGGCGTAAGAGGAAATCTATCCTCCTTAGAATGCTTTTGTAAACAGTTCTTCCCCCTCAGTCCGTGCGAGATGTTCTAAGGGTAAAGTATCCAGAACGAGGTTCATATGGATTCCGAACCTCTTCCCTGGAGACTGATATTTACAAACACTGGCCACTAGAGGAGCAAAACTCAAATGATTAACTTCTAAAGCAGGCTTCTTCAACTCTGGACCTCGGTTCCAAATCCAGGCCGTGTTTTCAGTTCTCCCAGGTAGTTCTTTAATAATTACTGATTCTGATTGGTCAGAGGCTTCACACTTGACTGATAGGTAAAGGAAGGTTGGAAAACCAGCAGTGCTCGGACCTTGAGGACCGTGAGTTGAATAACCCTGTTCTAAAGGAAGCAGGTTAGGGGCAGAAATCGAGCTAAAAGTTAAAATTCCCGGCCTGGCTACAGATCACAGGAACAGGGAAGGAGTTCACAGCTCCATATGACCACCTACCTCCGCCCAACGTCCCACGTTGACAAAGGCACAGATGGGATCGAAGGCTCCCGTCCCACAGGCCAGAAGATGGGTCCTGTTGTATTGATGAAGGACCTTTACATAATTGGCACATTCAGCCTGTAAGGAGAAAAGCTGCATTAGATTGACCAGCAGTGGTTTGTGAGGCTTCTAAGAGGTTCGATCTGATGCTAATGTTTGTATAAAAAGCAGCTTGGTTTCGTTGATGTCGTGAAATCCAAGGGAATCGTGTTTGTTCGAGGCAGCAGGGGCGTCTTGCTGCTTGTGGTGTTATTGTTTTAGCTGGGGAAAAAAACTTCACGAAACAAACGAGCCTTTCAAGCAAAACCCAGAAATGGATGCAGCACAGGCTGGTTTCTTTGTTAAAACGCGTCGATCGTAGCCTGAGGAGAATCTCCCTTGATAGATGCCTCCTCTTATTCTCCTCTTCTTATTTATCCATGGAATTAAAAAAGTACATGTAACGTTTCTTCAGCGTGACACCTGACAACCAATTAACTGAGGTCTGCCTTGCGGGGAAATAACAGCAGGGACAGTCCAGGCACTGCTAACGTGTCCTTAACAAGATTAAATTCAAATGTGGTCAAAACAATGAAACAATGAAACTCCAGGGCCAGATGTCGAACACACTTCCTAAATATTTTTTTCTCTTACGGAGAAAAATGAGTCAACTGGATAAATTATAGGCTTTAAAAGGAAGGCGGAGGCCTGTCGTTTGGTTACAGGCTTATGTTTCTTTTTGATCCAATTCCTACAAAAGACTAGGAAAATACATTGTCCGTATTCCGGAAAAATCCTTAGAGGACACCAGTGATGCGTTCCATGTATCAAAAGGCACGGGCAGTTAGGGGATGTAAAGGCAGGATGATGAATTGAGTTGAATCATAGCTGCTTGTTTAACCAGGAAGAAGGAAACATACACACATCCATTAATCCATCTTCTAAGCATCCTAATCTGGTGGGGCGGCACAGGACACTGGGGGGGGGGGGGGGGTGGACAGGCTACCAGGACACCACCCTGAAAGTGGGTTTCATAAAAATAGCTCCAAAGAAATGCCATCCTGCATAACAGCTGTTTTACGCAGAAAAAAAAGACTAATTAATAATTTTTAAAGGCTGTAACTGTCACGCCTAGCCCTGCATTCCTCATGTGTGCCACGCCCCTAATTACCCATGTGTGGAATCTGTGCTTCTCTCAAGCTGTTTTGTGTTTCTTAATTAGTTTCTTAGTATTTAAGTCCGTGTCTTACCTTTACTTGCCAGACTTGTCATTAATGTTCTTTAAGTTCGTGTCTTGTTAGCTTATGTCTTGAGCTTAGTTTTCCGTGTCATTCCTTGGTCTGCTCCCTTTTCTGGTTTTAAACCCCATTAAAACCCCTTACTTTGCTGATCCTCGTCTCCTACCCATTATTCCTCGCCTCCTCCCTGGACGTGTACGTAACAGTAACATCAAAGCATGAATTTGAACATAAATCAGGGTGTAACACTGCTCTTCACCAAGAGAGGGTGATAAAGGGAATTCGCAGTCAATGCTCCAGAGGTTCAGTTGCTGATCTGAACCTATTTTGCATTTCGTAGAAAATGACTAATCAAGCTCACCCGAATGATGTGAATGAAGACTATTTATTAGCCATTTTTTCATATTACGCTTCTGAGCTGACCCTCCTACCAAAGACAATCACTGTTGAAGCAAGATATTTTAAAGAAATTTGGTAAACAAGGGCAGCAACTGGCAGGATATGGAAGTGGCTTCACACCTGCAGGGCTTCCATCCCAGTGGGGCTTCATTACCGCACTGCCCCCCAAACACCTTGAAGAAGGCCTTCATTACCGCACTGCCCACCAAACACCTCGAAGAAGGCCTTCATTACCGCACTGCCCCCCAAACACCTCGAAGAAGGCCTTCATTACCGCACTGCCTGCCAAACACCTTGAAGAAGGCCTTCATTACCGCACTGCCCCCCAAACACCTCGAAGAAGGCTTTCATTACCGCACTGCCCGCCAAATACCTCGAAGAAGGCCTTCATNATTACCGCACTGCCCGCCAAATACCTCGAAGAAGGCCTTCATTACCGCACTGCCCCCCAAACACCTTGAAGAAGACCTTCATTACCGCACTGCCCCCCAAACACCTCGAAGAAGGCCTTCATTACCGCACTGCCCCACAAACACCTCGAAGAACGCCTTCATTACCGCACTGCCCGCCAAACACCTCGAAGAAGACCTTCATTACCGCACTGCCCCCCAAACACCTNCCTTTACTGAGACCGGTGGACAGAGATACACTTAGCCGATCTGCTAAAAATTAGGGAAGGCTTTCAACAGAGAATTATCAGCTGTCATTTGCGATGAAGCAGCATTAAGGTGAGACGCCTTCACACCTGATGAAGAAGCAAGTGTTTTTCCAGTTCTGAGGCTACACACTCCACCAAAATACAACTTTCAAAAACATTTTTAAACCTTGGATTCACTTTAAAAACCAGGCTGGAATGCTCGCCTGACTCTTTCACAGGACCATTTCACTTGTGAGCATTACTATCAGATTAATCACATTTTTATACCCAAACTTCAAACATGCTACTCTAAAGTTTCAGCCCTAGGCATTACAGTACAGAAAAATGCCAACTTAAATCCTCTCTCCTTTATAAAGTCTAGGTATGGCTTTACAGTGATAAGATCAGGTTTTTAGCTAACAGTTTACACTGTGTAAACCTCATTAATTGATTTATAAACTAAAGCGTACTATAGGAGTGAGAGGTTCCTTGTCTCCAAACGCAGATAAGCAGACCAGTCCCGCCCCCCCCCCTAAATTCTTCTCATTGCTCCTTCACACCAGGTGTTCCGCAGTTATAACTCGGCACAACCTCGTAACGTACAAACTGCCTGTTGACGCGACACAGACCCTTGTCCACATCTAAATTTTGGGCCTTTCTATATTCACCCCCCCATCCCCCAACCCCCCCAGCTTGAATTTCCCACAGCATCATCCTCCGAGTTTATCTGTCCTTTTCCAGTAGCAAACTTTCCATCCTGTGGGGCTTCATCTTCAGGCTCTGAGCCACGGCTAATGAGCTGATCTTAAGCTTGGCATAATATTTGATAACCCGCTCATCCATCTCCCATAACTACTTAGGCCAGGCCACACAGAGGACACCTTGCACAGGATAACTGCTAATCATTCATTAATTACACAAAATTATCCTCTGTGCTGCTTAGTGTGTACCCTGACCCTCAAAAGGAGAAGCTGTGGCTCTCGCAAAGCACTTGGGGCCAAACTAATATCAGGTCAAAGCTTCAAATAAACAGCGGCCTCCCATAAAGATGATGGGAAGCCGTTTTGGGAAGTCTTACCTTCTCTCTCCCCTTCATTAAGCAGTCATCCACTTGTCCTGCTGTGCTGGCCCAGGAAATCTGCAGTGAGACACACACGACATACATTCATGCTATGTTTTTTTTTCCATATACTTATTTTTTTAAATGTGCAATAGAACAACGTGCACTAAATATGCTAGCTATTTTAGCACTTAGCAAAAGGCATTTTAATTCACAGACTATATATCAGGGCTCTTCAAATCTGGACCTCGATTCCAAATCCAGGCCTTGTTTTCAGTTCTCCCAGGTAGTTAGTTTAATAATTACTGATTCTGATTGGTCAGAGGCTTCACACCTGACTGACAGGTAAAGGAAGGCTGGAAAACCAGCAGTGCTCGGACCTCGAGGACCGTGATTTGAATAACCCTGAAATATATACTTTCTTGTGACGTTCTGTAATGTGTTTTTGTATAAAGCAACCATGCATTATGCCCAAGCCAAATTTCCCCATGGAGAAACAAAAATTTAACCTAAAGTGAATGGCAGATGCAGGCAGCTCCCGGCTTACAGAAAAATGACTGAAGTAGATCCTGATTATGCAAAAAATATATGAGGTACACAGGGTTTACAGAAGCATTAACACCAAACGCGACATACACATATAAGTAAATCTACACTTCTTTTATTGAATGTGTTCTCTATTATGTATTACTAGTATATTTTTGGTTTATGTGTTTTTGGTATAAGGCATGAGAAGGTAAATCTGACTTGCACTACCAGTCAAAAGTTTTTGCACACATTGAGATTTTCTACATTTGCATGTTACTCACTTAACTTTTACTAAAAATACACTCAATATTCTTTTCTAACAAATAAATGTACAGTATGTTCACCATTTGAGTACCTTTATTAGGAAAAAAATGTCATATCTTTGTTTCATCAACAGCAGAAAAAAAATTGAGGCATTCTTTCTGCAAGGGACATTAAATACTGCTCCGTTTCATGGGATGGAACAGTTAACCACTGCATTTAAAGTTAATGGACGGCCTAGAATTTGACTGTCATCACCATACAACCAGTTAATAGGATGTCAGACATGCACTGTTACATACACTTTCCATGTTATAAAGGAAATTTGACTTATATTTTCATTTATAGTTGTTCACTCAACTTTCCAGTGCTGAACAAAAGTTAAAAAAAATCATCAGTTTATTAAATAAATGGAAAAGTGGTAAAAATCTGTGGTGTGTGAAAATTTCTCACTGGTTATGTACATAGTGTAGGGTTTGTACAGTGGAGTTCTTACATACATCAGTTGAAAACTCACTGTGCATTCACTGTAAGAGCTAAGCAAAGAGCATTATTGCTGTTGCGTCAAAGGACATTAAATACTAAGTTGGACACCCCAGCACTGAGAAACAGGGCCGGAGCATGAAGGGTCCTCAAGAGACAGAGGCTTGGCACGGAAAAACGACACAGCGGCTCTTCCCACCACCGCAGTGGGGAAGAAGCAAGTTCCGGAAGGGGGGTCCTGGGGGTAAAGGGGATGGGCCGTGACGGGTCGGAACCACGAAGCCCCAGAGGCCCCAGAAATAAAGAGAGACAGAATGGGTCTGAAACTCATACAACGCACATCAATGAAAACCCCCCACCCCTTTAAAAGAGGAGAATTCAAGGAGCCCTTATTTATAAGCATTCACTGGGAATGTACCATCTTTTAGCGTTTCAGGGTCCGTGCATTCCATGTAGCTTTCATTCCCTTCCCACACTATTATAGCAACGTTAACACCATTTGATATATCCTGTTGTATTTTTTTAGAACAAGCTAAATGACTTATCTAACACGGTATTTAACCACTGAATTTAACACTGAGGGTGTTCATTTTTAAATCCCTTTTACTGCAGCTCAGTTCCTCGATTGGTGAAAAAACAATACTGGAAAGATACAGCACCGCTTGTATTATTGTTATTATTATTATTATTCATCAGTCAGTCGAAGTTTCTTAATATCAGGACCGCCCTCCTCGGATGGGATTCTGCCGAAGAGGATCCAGAAATTTTGTTTTCAAAATGGCTGGCGTCCTGTGTCCACTACGCGATATATTTCACAGGGTGGCGTGGAGCCATGGTGAGGTCATCTACAAATGAGAAGTTCAAAGAGTCACACGCATACGCAAGACATCAGCCTGGAGGGAAGGCTCGTCCCGTGGGGTGGGGGGTGTGGCGGTTTAGTACCTCTCTGTGCTTGCTGTTAACCCGCTCCAGGCTCAGCGAGAACAGGCCATCTCGAACCCCGACAAAGAGCCGTTCCTCGTGCTCATCCAGCAGCATGGTCCGAGGGCTCAGGGGCCCCTGGGGGCTGTCAAATGCCCAGGTCCTGTTCAGATGCCATAGCTCTGTTGGAGAGACAAAGATCTCTGGATGGAAAAATAGCAGAAGTGTACCAAACATGCACACTCAACGTATGTAAGTTTGTTGAAATTGCATTTTGTTTGCTATTCCTTTTGTTACGATCTGTCTTCTATTCCTTTTGTTAAAACTGCAATTTGCCTGGTATTCCTTTTGCTAAAACTGTGATTTGCCTGCTATTCCTTTTGTTAAAACTGTGATTCATCTGCCTTTCGTTTTGCTAAAACTGTGACTTGTCTGCCATATACAAGCAAAGAGATATGTACTGCATAACCGAATAAAGTGGAATTTCGTCCCATATTGAGAGCATATGTCTGAAGTGCCAAAAATACACTGGGAATCCTTAATTTCCTCCGACGGCCCTATCAGACAAGGACTAGCGGCAATGTGTCTCTGATTTCAGGGGCCCCACGCCAGCAGCCTTTAAATCCCCAGCCGGCCCGCGACCATCACCTCAGCACCGTCCACCCGCTCGCTCGCTGTCCGGGATCACCAATCTCCTCAAGGCCACTCGAATAACCAATCACAGACTCTGCCTGAAGCAGACACGTCTTAGTGGGATTTGATGGGGACATACCCATCAGGGCTCCCACGGAACATCAAAGAATCCTTATAAAATGCCGCTGATTACCAAAGCACATGGGATTACTCCCAGGCAATGAGACTCAGGCATTCCCCCACCGTTTTATCGTGTTGTCCAGCTATAGGAACCATAAAATCCCCCAATATCCACAGGTCGTGCATATGAAGTCAAATCACTTGCACACACATCTGTCTGGTGTGCTACGTCTTGGCACACAGGACTAGCCAATTACCTACCTCTCATTGCACTGTTTACACATGTTGTCATATTTGTTCTTGTAATTGTGCTCATATTTATCATATTATTGAGGCATCTTAATTAATATTTGTGTGGATGTGTGCATGAATGTTGTGTGGTGCCCCATCCTGGGTTATTCCCTGCCTTGTGCCCATAGCTTCCAGGATAGGCTCTGAACCCCCACGACTCTGCACAAGAGGGGTATAGAAAATGGATGGATGGAATTGTGTTTTATTCGTGTTTACCGCAGAGTATCATTTTCGTTGTGCCATGTACAGTAACTGACTTTGCATATGACAATCAACCCCAACTATTTTCCCATAAGGGCCAAAATCCGTCAGCATGACAAAGCCCCCCCCCCCCAAAAAAAAAAAAAATCTGCCAGATCGATCATGAATCCTCTGTCTGTTGAATCAAAAGGAGAATATTAGCAGATAGCAGCCCCAAAGCAAACCTGTGAGGCAAACTGTAATTAGGTGGTCTGGGAACTCTCACTCTGTCACTCTGTCAAAGGAGTCACAGCGCTCCATGAATCTGTAGAGCAGCCGATACTGTAAACAGGTCCTGCCTGCTTCTAATTGGACTCAGTTGTGACCTTTGCTCTTGCATCCCTGGACACGAACCTGTCGGTACTAGTGTGGCATGAAAAGGGGATTTAAAACAAACTTTGAACTATAATACTGCATGGCTTAAGGCTATCTCACTAACATTATCGGGTTACAAATTTGCACTCGATGAGGAAGAAGGGGAATTTACTGCAATGATAGAAATGCCCGGAACACATGACGAGGACAACAGAAAGACGCTGCGCGTTTGGCCTGATTTGCTAATTGTCTGCACTTTCATTCGTTTGTGTTCTCTTGGCTTTGAGTGGCATTTTACCCTGTGGGAGGGAGAAATCCTTTCACAGATCTGACAACTGTCACAGAATGACGCTCAAATGATAAATCCAGTACAGAACTTAGACTCCAGTAACGTCATTCAGGCAGAACAGATTAGCAAAATCGAAAACAGAGCATATCTCCCATTTTCCGTGCTCGCCTTGAGGGTCTCAGCTACGTATGGCTATGTTGTGATAATTAGATGACAACATGTAAACAGTATTTAGTCATGGTGTGTAGAACATGTGGATAACATATTATATAAAAAAAGTTAAGAGTATTGCTGAGTCTTGTACCCATACAAACAAGATGTTTGACAGCATTTCCCCTGTCAACATTACAAAGTCAGTTTGGAGGAAGGACTGATGTCACTCACTGTGTGGGAAAAGAGTATAGAGGAAAACTGGACCCAATGATCTGAGTCCACATTTTCGGGGGAGGGGGGTGTGGTCCCATGTTGGCCTGCACCCATCAGCACCAATTACCATCTGCCACACGTGCCAAACAGATCCAACTTCTGGAGTTGGGCAAGTGCGCGTGAGTTTGAGTCAGGCCTCCGCACTCACTCAGAAAGGTCCGTAAATGTCAGCTAGCAAAGGGCAATGACACTTTGGATCTCAAAGGGCTCTTTCAAGAGAGTCAGAAGCGTTGAGTCACAAAGTGCACGGGGCGGCGGATGATGATAATTACATGGGTGGATGTTTCGTTTGAATGCTCAGTCATAAAATGGCGAATTTATTCTTCAGCTGAAAAGGGTCGGTGCTCTGGAGGGTGGAAGTGAATGACTTTGGGCTTGACTGTGGTCATGTGTGTCACACATATGGAGTCCCACACAGATCACACAGAATAACGGGGAGGCGTGGTTCACGCGTGTGGCCGGCTTTACCTAACAGTGGAAGAGTGACTGTCTAAGCATATCAATCATTCTGTCCATTCTGTCCAATGCTGTCCATCAGAATTTTGCATCAGAAATGCACATATTCTAAAGCGACCTTTTGTATATGAAAAAAGGTACAAAATGTTAGTATTTCACATAGATTTTTTGCTTGCTGTGCACCTCATGAATATTAAATAATGCTTTATATCCATCCATACTGGCACACACGAGGATCGAACGAGCAGGTCATGACACATACAGCTGTGAAAAAATCAACTCATAATAGAATTCTACAGTTACTATCCAAAGAATATATCTCCATAGTTATGGTTAGAAAATTTAGTCCCGTTAGTTAAGATTCCTTACAGTGTAAATACATTATTAGTGAGAATTAAGGTACAAATGATGCAGTAGTCCACTGCCATACACTCATGTCAAGTGCCTTGAGGCGGCTGTGTTGTGAAAGGCGCTATATAAAAATAAACTGAATGGAAATTGAATTGAATTAACTTATCAAGATTTACATCATGTGTAACTCATGTAACTTTAAATGTTTATTCTGACAAAAAATAATATTTGGAAAAAGGATTCAATTCTTATCCGTAGCTTAATTTCGGCTTGACATCATCGGCTAGCGAGGGCCACTAGTGGGTCAGATATATTACTTGAGAATATTTCCTTTGGAAGACTCCGGAACTCAAGGGAAGCTGTGGGATCGTCAGGATGCGCCGATTTCAGTCTTGCAGATGTAAATAGTGTGGTCTAAGCCTTGTTTTTAGCATTGCCAAACTGTTTACACCGCTAACCAAAGTTGGAGGAGCGCTCTAAGAGAGCTGATTGTAATTGTATAGTGATTTAAAAATGAGGAAAAACGTTGAAAATTACTAGAGAGATCTGGAACAATTGAACAGTCTGAACTGTAGTTGAAACACCTGTGACCTCACCAAGGACAAACTGTCAGACGCAACGCCGCATGCGAGGAGGAGATATAACCAGCAGCAAATGAAAATTCATATTCAGCAGACCTGTTTGGCATTAGACACTAAACACTAACTCACACCCCCGGGGCAATAAAGAGTGACAACTGGGCAGGGATGCTCTGCATATGTACGCACCAGTGGAATTTGGAAGGGGACCAACAATACCCCGGGGGGCAAAAACGTCAATTAAAAAAAAAAGCTTGTTGTCCCAAACTGCTGTTTGAGAGACAAGAAAAACAGGAAACGTTTTCCCAAATGCTACACAAATGCTAAGGAACTTGGACAGTCTTTAAATGTCAGAGGGACCCATTGAGCGACAGGCAGACAAGCTTAGATATGGAAGGAGAGGACAGAGTTTTGTGGGCCAGACATGTTACAGATTTACAGTATCAACCAGGGGGGGGGGGGGATCGCCAATAAGACCTTCTCGCATTCAATGGCTCGATCCCGTCTCCAAAGACCTGCTGATGAATCTCGACAAACTACAGAAAACAACAGCTTCAACAAACCTGGGAACAGTCACCAGGAGACCATCACGAGAAGGTTTGCAGGTTCCTGCACAGCTTCCCACATTAAACTTCAGCTTTATCTGTAGACTAGTGAAATAATGCCACACGTGATAGAAGTTAGACACTCAGACACTGTGATGTAAATGAAGACAGTAGATCTCTGCACCATGCAAGACAGCATCTCGGGAACTTTAAGGGTCACATCCAAAGATTATTCATGCTTCTGTCAGATGCTATTTATTTTCAGGTCAAAGAATTTAGCATAAACATCTTCAAAAGGGCCAGTTGCTCAGCATCTGAAGGTAACTTTACCAGTTTCCTCATCAATCGACATTCCATCCATTATCAATTACGAAAACTTAAAGAAGAAAAACATATTAATAATTAGAAACAACTGGATAAACAATTAGCTAAGGCAGTAAATGATTGCATCATTCTAAAAATACACATATGAACTAATATATTCATCATTTTCACTGTTCAGTATTAAAATGCAGAGGTTAAAGGTTGCAGGGATTCAGACCAACTGATTCCGAATTTATGAGAATTCTGCTCCGTGTGTTTCTGCTGCTGGGGACCATTAATGTGAAAAACCTTCTTTCAATGGAAACGGCGCAATGGGGTAAGAGATGCCACTCAATGCTCGCGTTTCAACAACGTGGCCTGATGCACTGAGGGATGCTAGAAGAGATTTAACAAAAAAGCCGAGAAAACAAACACTGATCTTTAATCACGCTGAAATCTCAAGCGTGTTTGTCGTGTAAGTGTACTCCAGAGAGAAAAAGAAAAGTGCCATAATACTCTTTCTAAGCCTACTGAGAGGTCACAAGAAGTTGTATCTCAGCTTGTAAATGCACTTCAACACTTTCACACTTCAACACTACAAATTATTCAATTAACAAACTTGAACTCTTTATCAA